CTATTTCCTCACTTTTAGGTTTTCTTCCACAGGTTTATGCTGCCCTGCATTCTGACTCGTGGGTTGGAGAGTCAGGTAGAACTTTTTTGTTTTTAACATATACAAAATCCGGTGAAGAGGAGAGTCCCAGAGCATTGCACTTAACACTAGTTGCCACTTTTTCCTGCTCTGGACCGTTTTCCATCACTAATGAAAGAGGATTCTATGAGATGAGTTTGCTGGAGGGTGAAGTGGGCTGTTCTTGCATTGAATGCCTAGAGTCCATACAATTCTAAAAGGGTGATTAAAAGTATATATGAAGCTACCTATAATTATTCACATAAAAATGATTTAAAGTATAATCCATCATGATTTTCCGGGTTTTCTATTTGCATGTAAGGATTAATTTTCACTGCCCAGGAACTTTGTTGTATAACTCCGAACACCATCAGTGAATGCTTGTGGTTTAAAGCTCTTTGCCACTTAAAGAATTTCTAAGTGCTGTTTTGTTCAGTTTTCTGTGATAAAAATTGTTCTTGTAAAGTAAAAGGAAAGATGATACTTTTCATGTCTGGTTAGTATTTGTGAAGTTAGCTTGGTAATTTTCAGTCTTGTGGTAGAGGTTTTTTTCAGATTTCTAAAGTGCTTTATGTTTTTTATGACGTCTTTTGTCATTCTTTTCCAGAGAATTCGGTCAACAGTGGATGAAAAAGAACAAAAACAACTTCTTATGGATTTGGATGTAGTAATGCGGAGTAGTGATTGCCCATATATTGTTCAGTTTTATGGTGCACTCTTCAGAGAGGTAGGAATGAACTATTTGGGTTTTAGCTGAAGAATGAATGTCTAATCAGGACAAATATGAATATGGCAGTATTAGATTCTAATATTCACTTAAATGCCATACATTAGTAATAAGCTAATGTCTCTCAGTATTTTAATACATAGCTATGTAATCTACAGATTAACTTCCACCATAATTATTCCTTTGGTTAAGGGGAAAATCTACTTTTTATTATTTTAACTTGTGATGTCACTTATAAATTTCCTGTTTCCTTTTTTCATTTACAAATACCTCTTTTCTGGAACCTGACAAATCAGCTGAATTCTAAATATCAACCCTTTTACTATAGGTCTAGATTCTTATCTCTTTTGGCCTTGGACTCTCCATCCCCACTGCCCTCCCACGCCCATCCCACCCCCTGTTTTAAAACTTCTACTCATTTCTGTCATCAAATGTATGTGCATTTAATGTAAGCATTTACTAGTTCCCACTCATAACCTTCAACACAACTCATCAGACATGGAAAATAACAATTACAGTAGAAATTCTTTTATCTAATTCTGTAATGCAGAGTATTTTGTGTAGAAATTAGAAGTTTAATTTTCTTGGTCTCATGATCATGTTCTTCTTTTGGCCTCTGGTTATTCTTTGTTCTCACTTCTACCCCCAACTGTCAACCCACTTATCGTTTCCAGTCATCCAGCTGCCCACAGATGGGGAAGTGAGTTAGGGCCAGGCAGTAAAACTGTAA